TTTTTAACATATTTGACCCATGTGACCTTGACTATAAGTCAAGGTCATTCATTCGAACAATTTTGGCAGCCCTTTATCACAGAATGCTACTGGCCAAATAGCATCATCCTAGGCATTTTGGTTATTGAGAAGTTGTTTAAAGGTGTTTAACATATTTGACCCCTATGACCTTGAATATAAGTCAAGGTCATTCTTTTTAACAAAATAGGTATACCTTCTTCCCAGCATGTTACTGGCCAAATATCATTATCCTAAGCCTCTTGGTTATTCAGAAGAAGTTGTATAAAGATTTTTTAAGACAATTGACCCCTGTGACCTTGAAAATGGACGCAGGTCAATGATTTGAACAAACTTGATAGCCTTTCATCACAGCATGCTACTGGCCAAATAGAATCATCCTAGGCCTTTTGGTTATTGAGAAGAAGTTGTTTAAAGGTCTTCAACATATTTGACCCCTGTGACCTTGAATATAAGTAAAGGTCATTCATTTGAACAAACTTTGTAGCCCTTCATTCTAGCATGTTACTGGCCAAATATCATTAGCCTAGGCCTCTTAGTTATTCAGAAGAAGCTGTATAAAGATTTTTTAAGACAATTGACCCCTGTGACCTTGAAAATGGACAAAGGTCGTTCATTTGAACAAACTTGGTAGCCCTTCATCCCAGCATGTTACTAGCAAAAAATCATCACTCTGGGCATTTTGGTTATTCAGGAGAAGTTGTTTCAAGTTTTTAACACATTTGACCCCTGTGACCTTGAAAATAGGTGAAGGTCATTTATATGAACAAACTTGGTAGCCCTTCATCCTAGTTTGCTTCTGGCCAAATATCATCACCCTAGGCCTTTTGGTTATTAAGAAGAAGTTGTTTAAAGTAAAATATTGACGCCGGACGCCGGACGCCGGCCGCCAGACGCCGGCCGGCCGGCCGGACGACGGACGCTGCACCATGGCATAAGCTCACTTGGCCCTTCGGGCCAGGTGAGCTAATAAGGTAAAATTAAAAATTAAATAGCTGGAAAATTTTCCAATTTTCTTTAAAATATTTTTCCATCTGAATTTTTTTCTCTCCAGAATTGCCAAATTCTATGCAATTAAAACCTTGTTTTGATAAGATGAACAAAATCATTAAAATTTTAGGAAGTATATATATTCCAATACAGTTAGGAAGGAATTTATTGAAAGCTTTTGCATTCCTTCATGTAAATTGGTTAAAATTTCTCCTGAGTCACAAAAAAGCAATTTATTCACCCAAAACCTAGGTTGGTCCCTATGTGATATAGTTTTACTGATAAGTTGATGACATATAATGTATAATGAGGGTTGATAGGTACAAAGTCAATAAAAGTCTAATCTTGTAATGAGGTACAAAAGTGTAGCCCCTGGATTAATTACCTAAATTGATTTTATAGAATGCACTGGTCCAGCACCAGCAGGTATGGTGCCAGCTCTGCCACAATTAGTCTGACTGTGTGTGTGTATCTATAAACAGGGCTTGGACAGCAAGAGTAATTTCCTGGCGAATACAAGTCTGATACAGTGAATCTATACCCAGTGTCTATTGGTGTGTTATTGTTCCGAGGTCATCACGCCTATACAAGCTAGCATCATCAGCTTGATTCGTTATTAAAGAATGTGTAATGCAACATGCATGACAACAGAATATCCCAGAAATGTCTTTCAGTAATCAAATTATCTTGAACTTTATTTTTCTTTGTCTCTTTAACAGAATAATATAAAACTTGGGTATTAAGGAGCCGTGGTGGCCAAGTGGTTAAGGTGTCTGACATTCTGCTACCAATAGCTCTCCACCACTGGGTAGCGGGTCCAGACCAGGTTTACTGGCCATAAGTTGGTGGTTTTTCTCTGGGAACTCCAGCTTTCCTCAAACAACAAAACCTGGCACATCCCTAAATGACCAAAGCTGATAACAGGACATAAATCACAAATAAACCAAAAAACTGAGGTATTAGAAGAAATAAATTGACACCATGCATCTTGACAATGAACCAGACACAAATTCTTTCCAGATGCTCCTACAGCTCACAGGTGCTGAAACAAGTGCCCTGAACTGACACAGAACATATATACAATGTATTATGGTCTGATAATAGTCTACTTGGAAGGCAGATCTACATGGAACAATAAAAGAAGACCTGTGATGTCATTTTCAGATAAAAGCTGACCCCATAAAACTGACAGAATATCAGCAACAAAGTATGGAACGTTAAACTCTACCAGTAAACAATGTCTGTCTGGCTCTGCTGGTCGCATGGCTACGTAGTAGTGGGTCTGGAGATAATCTCCGACCTCCATAAAACACTTGACAGATATTATAGGTTCACGAAGTCAAGCTATTTTAACGAGGTCCAGCTTGGAACAACCCAGGCCAACAATAATTTTGTAACTATCAGACAGAGACCACTTTCTTTATCAACTACACTGGCTTTTCTATGTGTCTGGTGGATTTATATAAAATTTTCGTTTAGCAAATTACTCTATCATAAGACAAGAGCATGCTCGTTTAACTTTTCTGGCAGAGTTTTCCTGGACAATTTATATTTGAATGATTTTTTTGTGAGATAATACGGTTAATAGAAAAGTTATTAAATGTCATTTTTCTTGGTCCTATCTCTGTTGATGTCCTATGATTATTTTTAAATCATTTATAGACAAAAGATTCTTTCATTGAATGTGATTTCTGGTAGATTTATCTGTGTCCCTGACATGACTTGGTAGATTTATCTGTGTCCCTGACATGACTTGGTAGTTTTATCTTTGGCCCTGACATGACTTGGTAGGTTTATCCGTGTCCCTGACATGTCTTGGTAGATTTATCTGTGTCCCTAACATGACTTGGTAGATTTACCCGTGTCCCTGACATGACTTGGTAGATTTATACCTGTCCCTGACATGACTTGGTAGATTTATCCGTGTCCCTGACATGACTTGGTAGATTTATACCTGTCCCTGACATGACTTGGAGAGAGTAATTAAGTGGGCAATGTAATCTTGTTTGGCATCCACTGAAATAACTAAAAGCACCTCCATGAGTGAGGTACAATGTGATAGACAATACACTTCTATTATGATCGTGAAGGCATTTTGCATGGATACACATCATATCTGATACACTACTTAAACATGTTAAATCATAAACAAATATGTGTTTTGTGAATCAACTTCGCAACTTACTTTTTTACATTTATTGTTGTTCTTTTAAGTTCAAAAATAAACTGTTCATGTATTGGCTGATATTTGGCAATAAACTTGACAACACTGCACGACAGTAGCTTTCAGCCATTTCCTTGTCAAGAAATTATTTTGACATGTCCATAAAAATCTATTTCTCCCCTAGCCTTGAGTCACACATCTGACCATTGTTATCTTTAGAGGCAGAGTTTGATATGTATAAAACATTGGGAATTTCTTCTACTTTAAAAATGGTGTCCTGGGGTCATACTACAGATTGAAACTGATTGGTCAAGTGATGATGAACAATTATAGACAATTACCATCTGTAAGGAACACATGTATATTCATCGACTTAGGGCAGCTGTACTTACATGTACTTTTCTGGGTATGACTAGACTGCCTGAAGCTTCCATATCCCTTAAGTTTTTATGAAGAATATCACAGCTACATTTTACTACTAGCTAATTCAAGTGATCAAGATGATTAGAGTTTATTTTTTTCTAAATAATTGAATATTCTAGAGACAGGGGCTCAGTCTAGGGTATGACTAGCTGAACCAGAAATATCTTTCTTGCCATCAAATATAAATGTGATGACAAGACACCACAACCTTGAACAACTATGTACAAGCAATTTAATATTAATCATTTCTGATATTTATTTTATTTTATTTTATAAATACCGTTAATCCAATTCTACTACAAGGTTAACAACATCTATGCTTTATTAAAGATCACATATTTGCTTTAATTCAATCCAGTTGAAATACTCATTTAAGCTGCGGTGATTAATTACCCACAGAAGATAGCTCAAGTGTGTACTGCAATCGCACCCTCAGTCACCGATCACCACAGGAAAGCTTTTCAATGACCAGGATCAGAGCATGGACATATTTATGTTGCCGACTGAACTTTAGAGGTCAGCCGAATAATGCAAATGCCAGGTTTTTAAATGACTTGTTCACAAGATTTGTAAATGGGGTAAGGTTAGGTTACCTGACAGACTAGTTTGTGTAGCTATAGGCTTGGCCAACCTTGTACCTTAATAACCTCATTAGACCTTACCTCATTCCTCGACCTGTCCAACTATGGCCATTGTCACCTGTTGTCCTGTCACCGAATAAATCGTTAGCAGGTAGAAACACCTGGACTTTCCACACCATGATGGCTATTCAGGAGACTTTGCATGACAGCTAAAAGTGCTTTCTGTCATCACAGTAAATGTTCAGTTTCGCGAAGGTCTTTTATCATCTAAACTCTTCAATCTAGACATTTTTAATATATCTGGATTAAGTGCAATCTGAAGCTATAGTTTTCCTTTGTTAAAGTTTTCACTTGATTTTGTTCCAAGAAATAAACCAACCTGGACACAACCTTTATTTAGAGACATAAACTTGAAACATATTTTACTGTACAATGTTGGATGATGAGATGGGTACATTGAACATACTATTTTTTTATTTGTAGGAAAAGGACTATCAAAATATTAATTACCTAATGGTAAAAACAGGAAACATAAAAATTAGTTTTGCAACAGTTTAAATTCTTCCAAAGGAAAAACACACCTCAGTGATATGGAGGCTGGAAAGGGGAGGTTTTTTTTATCATTTAAATTTTATATTTAAGTCATTGCACATACATACAGATAGCTGAAGAAACAGCCCTGCAATGGGAAGTAACTATTATACTTACCCAGAGAGGTGGCAATGGTTTAAGAGGTGTATGCATGTCTCAAATTATCTGGTTAAACACCAAATCTTTGTACATTTTATGCATTTTGTAATCCATAATTACAAATTCATAATTACCTGTTCTCTGTCGTCCACCACATCGTTGAGTATGTCATCTGGGTCAAGTATTCCACCGTCAGTGCTGGTCTTAAGGTTGTGGACTGTCACCCAGTGGTCACTTGACTGTAATGATAATACATTGGTATTGGTCAAGATATTCAGATAACTATAATAACGGTTAAGATTTGTGTAATAAAGATGTAACATGTAAAAAAAATGTTCAGGCAAAGATAATTCTGGTTAAGATGTCTGATCTAGATATATTAAAAAATGTCTGTACTAAAAAAATGTTCATGTAAGGATAATATATATACATGATCATATTGAACAGCAATTTTCGATGCTCTTCCATGAACATATTGCAAACTGCTGTTCCACATGTACCAGTATTCAATTCAATTTTTTATGATTTTTTTATAGATCAAAATTATTAGGTATTCCTGGAACAGCCTAAACATAACGCCAACAAAATATTAGGTATTCCTGGAACAGCCTAAATATAACGCCAACAAACTATTAGCTTCTTACAGTTGCCTCACCTTATTTGAGGCCGGAGGAGAAGCTTAAATTTTGCACTGATCAAATTGTGTTAATGGATCTTAATTATAAAATGAACACAAATTCTTCAGGACAAAGGTAATGCTTTTAAGAGGAATTTGCAGTGGAAATGTAAATATATGTAGGCGATAGTATTTATTCATGATAATAAAAGAAAAGATATGCAAGTAATAATGAACACACGTACAGGTTTTTTAGGGCCCTTTTTTGGGTATATTTAAGACCTTTTTCCAATACAAAAAAGCTATATAGCGGTATTATAACAATCTCTTAAAAATCTCTGAATTGATCAAATATAAAGAGTTGCAAGTTGGTTCCAATTGGCACACAACAAGCGCTAGCTGATACATTATAATACAGCAATGATTTACTCCAACTGACATTTTGGGCCTTTTCCAAATTCATTCAGAAAGGGCCCCGATCCACGAGGCAAGAACAATACTGGAAAATCATCATCATTTTTTAAACCAGTAAGTTATGCATGTACCCTATATTTGTATATATATTAAATGTAAGCAAGTACAAACTCGCTGGAGTAATGTAAATATAAAACAAGATAGTATCTGACTAAACCCTTAGATTTCAATACATCTGGAATGTACACAAGTTTTAGAGCGAAGTCATCTTTTTTTACATAATATTTGTTGTTTATCAAATCTAAAATCTGACCTAGATATAGAATATTCCAATAAAATGAAATTCTTTGTCATCAGATATCTTTCTAGCATGACCATCCTTTTACTCTGTAAAGATGCTCTAGATCCATCAAGGTTATTTCCTATATTGTATTCATTTAAATTATAATGTATTATGCAATGTATTTAATTACATAAATTCCAGCTGGTTCCACTTAAAACCAGGTATATATAGCCCCCTAAGGTCCTCTGTGTAGCTACAAGTATATATATTTACCTGTAGGATATCAGCTTTACATATATATATACTGGAATTCTTTGAATTTTTATGAATTGCTTTTTTCACATGATTCAATGAGAACACATGTTGCAGACTCTTTATTCTCATGTCCAATTTGATTTATTACCAGTGATTTTTATATATTTTTGGAGGTCAAGTTATACATATAAATTCAGACCAGCCACAACCAACTAAGTTGCTATGTAATGTATAAAGAATTTCCCAGTTGCATCATTTTACTGCAAAATTTCCCCCTAGTTTCAGAACTTGGACAGCATTCCAACTGATCAAAATTGTAACAAGTTTTTTATGAATAATTCAATATTCAAGAGACGGGGGCCAGTTTATCATAAATAGAAATTTTTGCTATTTTTACCGGCACCTGTTGATAATGTTTATGTAGATTACAATTTCCAGCTGATTCAATAATGGCAACCTTACAGGGAGATTCTCTAATTCTATCATCTTGAATTGGATGTGTTTATGTAAGGTTTTAATGGCCATTTTGGCTGCGTTAATACTTCATTTTGGAAGGTTGTCGGCAATCTTGGCTGTATTTGGGAGGTCCTTGGCCATCTTGACCATCTTTGGAAAGTCCTTGGCCATCTTGAAGGACCTACTGGAGTCCTTTTCTATTAAAGGGGTTCGACACAGCCAATTTAAGATGGTAGAATTAGAGATCTCCCTGTAAGGTTGCCATTATTGAATCAGCTCCTCAACAGTCAAGATGCATAGCATGGCCATTGATATTGCCTGCAATTGCTACAGTATCATGTCCCAGGAAAACATTTTGAATTGTTGACTTAATCTTCGTGCCTTGTTTGAACTCTTCATTTTATGAGTCCATAAAGGATTAAGGTTACTTAAGAAGATGCCATCATAGCATCAACATAAGCTATAACTCATTCACCCCTGAAATTTCATAATGAACCATTCCGATGTTTGAACAGGAAGAGTTCAAATGTGTCTTCAGGGATGAATGAGTTAATGTCCATGTCATATTTGCCCAATATGACATAATATGTACTAGTAAACTGAAGTGTACAAATCAATTGTAAAGTCTATGTTTAAACAGGGTCTCGACTTTATACTATAAACATGCTATATATAGTCATTGGTTTATTATATAGACCATCACATTATACCACACATGTCCTGTCCACTGTGACAGGTGGTCCGGCTGTAACAGATATACCTGTACATATGTTTGTAATATACCTGTACATATGTTTGTATAGTAATTATATCAATATTTGACCTGATATCTGTCAACGTGTAACAGTATAATGACAAAGTATACAGAAGGTGTAACAACAAGTAGGACACTCAGCTGATGGGGTACAGTACACCACTTGGGATTATAACCTACGTATACACATGCACTTAAAATAGGAAACATTTCCATGCCCCTGTCTCTTTATATTGAGTTATAAAAAAAAAGGTGTAATAATTTTGATCAGTTGTAAGGCTGATTATAATTCTCAAACCAGGGAGAGATTTAAGTAAAATGCAGCTGGAAAATTCTTCATAACAAGAGGCCCAATGGGCCTGAATCGCTCACCTGGTATTAATCTCACACTTGTAATCTTAAAAATGGACTTAAAATAAAGCTACAGGAAGAATATCAGTGTTTGATTCATAAGAACCTATTAAAAGATTTAAACATATGACGCCTGTGACCTTGAATGTCGTAACAAGGACATTAGGTTGAACAGAGTTTAAAGTCTTCCACCCCAGCATGCTTTTGGCAAAATATCATAACCCTGGACCTATTGGTTATACAGAACAAGTCATTTAAAGATTTAAACATATATTGACCACTGTGACCTTGAATATGGGCGAAGGTCATTCATTTTGACAAAATTGGTAGCCCTTCATCCCAGCCTGTTAATGACCAAATATCATCATCCTTGCCTATTGGCCTATAATGGCGAATTTAGAAGAGGTTGTTTAAAGGTTATAAACATATTTGACCCCTGTGACCTTGAAAATATGTAAAGGTCATTCATTTGAACAAACTTGATAGCCCTTCATCCCAGCATTCTACTGGCCAAATATCATTATCCTAGGCCTCTTGGTTATTCAGAAGAAGTTGTATAAAAGTTTTAAACATATTTGACCCCAGTGACCTTGAATATAAGTAAAGATCATTCATTTGAATAAACTTGGTTGCCCTTTATCCCAGCATGCTACTGGCCAAATATCATCATCCTAAGACTTTCGGTTATAAGGAATTTGTTTAAAGGTTTTAAACATATTTGACCCCTGTGACCTTGAAAATAAGTAAAGGTCATTCATTTGAACAAACTTGGTAGCCCTTCATCCTGGCATGTTACTGGCCAAATATCATTATCCTAGGCTTCTTAGTTATTCAGAAGAAGTTGTTTAAAGATTTGTTAAGACAATTGACCCCTGTGACCTTGAAAATGGACGGAGATCATTCATTTGAACAAACATGGTAGCCCTTAATCACAGCATGCTACTGGCCAAATTTCGTAACCCTATGCCTCTCAGTTATTCAGGAGAAGTTGTTTAAAGGTTTTTAACATATTTGACGCCTGTGACCTTGAAAATGGACGGAGATCATTCATTTGAACAAACTTGGTAGCCCTTAATCACAGCATGCTCCTGGCCAAATTTCGTAACCCTATGCCTCTCAGTTATTCAGGAGAAATTGTTTAAAGGTTTTTAACATAGTTGACCCCTGTGACCTTGAATATAAGTCAAGGTCATTCATTTGAACAAACTTGGTATACCTTCATCTCAGCATACTACTGGCCAAATATCATCACCTAGGCCTTTTGGTTATTAAGAGGAAGTAAAATATTGTCGCTGGACGCCGGACGCTGCACCATGGCATAAGCTCACTTGGCCCTTCGGGCCAGGTGAGCTAAAAACTTTGGGGCTGGTAGCCAGTCTAAATGTATAGGTATAACTATAACATGAACTCCAAACCCCTTCCCTTCTCAACACCCTCTAGTCCCCCCACCAGGTCGCGGGTTTGAGACCTACGTGGGGAAGTCGCCAGGTACTGGCTGCAGGTCAGTGTTTTTTATCCGGAAACTCCAGCTTTCCTCCACCACCAAAACCTGGCGCGTTCTAAATAACCATAGCTGTTAATAGGACGTAAAACACAAACGAACCAAAAAATGTAATTATAAGCCCTTGAAAAAGCCATGCAGGATTTCAATTTCAGTAAACAATCACTTCTTATCATTTAAAAAACTTTATTGTGGACTATCATATATGTATATATAATAATTCATCTTGATACTTTTTTTCATAACTTTTTGTATTAAACAAATGATTTTATATCATATCCATCAACTACCGGGTATTACTTTAACTATGTGGTATGTCAAGCGTCGTATGATTTGAAATTAAAATCTATATATATATATTCCGACGTATTGTCCGTTTTTAATATGCTGCACGTAATAATGATGTTTTACACTGTGTATTGTACATTTTTTGTACATTTGTGTCAGTACTAATTATTATATATATATAATGTACTTTGAAATGATTACTCATGGGCAAATAATAAGCCTCAGAACAATCTGATTATAAAATAATCTCATAATGATGTCATCATGCAATTAACCCTTTCACCCCTATGTAACTTTAGTAGACTCTATACCATGCATTGA